TATTATTTTCTACTTTCTCTTATTATCTTTGTTTTTATTTATTTTCTCATCTATTTCTTTTATCTATATATTAAATCACATTTTATGTTTTTATTTTTTTTAATCTACTCTCTTTATGATTTTATTCATTTTCTGTTTATCTCTTGTATTTGTCATTTTATTTTCTATGTTGTATTATTCTTTTCATATCGTATTTGATTTCTATGTTGTATTATCATCTCTCTTCTTTTTTTTCTTTGTTACTTCTTGTGTGTATTTGCTCATTCTTTTATCTTTTTCTTTTATTTTTATTTCTTCTTTTATTCTCAATATTTCTCATGTTTTGATTTGAATATTCTGATTTAAATAGATTTATTTATCTTTTATTTTATTGTGTTTTATTACAATTATTATTCTTTGTTTGTATTTAAATATTTCAAACTAACATTTTGTTCATTTTCTTAGTTATTTTTTTTGTAAATACTTTGTATTCTTCTTTATTTATTATACAATTTATATCTACTTCAAGAAGTAGAAAATATTTTGTATCATTATTATGTTGTTATTTATTTCTACTTTTATATTTGTTCTTTTTATTGTTTATTTCTTATTTCTGTATTAAAATTCTTTCATTTATTTCTTCTTTTTATTGTATTCCTTTTTATCTTCTTTTTATTCTTTTTTATATTTTTATTGTTTGTTTTCTATTGTTCTTCATTGTATCTTGTTTATTCTTTTCTTTCTTTGTAATTCTTCTTTTCTTTCTTGTTATATTCGTTTCTCTTGTCTTTCTCTTCATTGAATTTTATTATATTTGTTTATTGCTTATTCATATTACTGTTGATTTATTGTTGATTTTATGTCATTCTTTGTGTTTATATCATTTTTATATTTAAATTATCTGTTTTCTTCATGTGTGTATTTTTTGTTATTTATTCTCATATCTTTTCTTTTAGTATTTCTTGTTTTCTATTCTAATCCCAGTATTCTGTATATTTCTTTGCTATTTCTTCCTGTTTTTGTTAGTTTCATTCTTCATTTATTTCTATTTTCTTGTTCATTTTATATTCTTTTTATTCTTCTTATTTTATTTATTCTATTCTTTATTCTCTTTGTGTTTTTATTCATCTTTATTCTTTTATTCTTTTCTTTCTATTCACTTTTCTTCATTTCTCTATTTCTTCTTGTTTATTCGTTTCTTTATTTTCTTTTTGCTCTTATTATTTTATTCGGCTTGTAGGGTTAATTCAATTTCCTTTCTTATATTTTCATTTTCTTGTTTATTTTTATTTTATATTGTTATTTATTTTGTTTCTTTTATTTATTCTTCTTATATTCTTGTATTTTATCGGTGTTATTATGTTTTTATCTTTATCTACTTCTGTGTTTGTGGTTTGTTTTATATCATTTTCTATATTATTGTTTATTTATTCTGTTATTTATTATTATATTCTTCTTTGTTTTCTTCTTATTCTTTCTCTTTCATATTTCTTATGTCTTATTTTCTTGTGTCTTATTATTTTTTGTTTCATTGAATCTTTTATGGGTGTGTTTCTCTTCAAATAAACATGTTTCATTCTTTTATTATTATTCGTTTTGACTACAAAATATCTTTCTAATTCTTTTGTTTTGTCTTCTTGTATTTGATTATCTGATTATCATCATTTATTCATAAAAAAACAGTTTTGAACTTGTTTTATTTCATTTGAAATTTACTTCGTGAAACAAAAAAAGAGTTTGTTTGAAAAGTTATTTGACTGTTTGAAATTTATTTGTATAAAAGATAGTTTAAAATAAATAATTTTATTCTGGTTCTTGTTTTGAATTATTTGTTTATTCATTCTTGTTATTCTTCATTTGTATTCGGAACATTTTTCTGTGTTTGTTTCTTTTCTTATGTTTATTCTTTTTATTCTATCATTTTCTATCAAATTATTTATTATATCTTTGTTTTTCATTTGTTTCTCTTTGTTTTAGTCTTGTTTATTCATATTTTGTATTTCTATTTATTGTTTGTTCTGTTATTCATTCGTATAATTTTACTTTATTTATTATTCATCTTCTTATGTTTGTGTTTGATATATCATCATTATGAATATCATTCTTTGTTTTCATTTTTATGTTTAGTATTGGTGGATTTTATTATATTATCTATATTCAGTATTCATTGTTGTTTGATAATTTCTATTATTATTTTATGGATTTAAAAGTTGTTTTGTTAATTTATCTGTTTGTTGATTGGTGTGTGTTATAAAAGAAGTGTTGGAAATTAATTATTATTTGAATATTTTATATTTGTCTTTGTTTATTGTTTTGAATGAATATTTATATTGAATATATTTGTTTATCATTGAAAATAATTTATGTTTTTATTAATATTTCTCATTTTTGTTGATTTATTCAATTAATAAATTTATCATTTTTGAAATTTTCGTTGTTCATTTTATTAATTTATCAGTGTTTTATTCTTTCTAATCTTTCTTGTTCATGTTTATTATTCAATTTCTTCTTATTTCTTTCTTTTTACTTTATCTCTTTTTGATTTTTATTTTCTTTATCTTTTTTTATTTCATATCTTCTGTTATTTTTCTATTCTATTCTGTTTATTCTATTCGTTATTTTATTTTCTTTGTTTTCTTCTTATATGTATTCTTATTATCTCTATTTCATTGTTTGTTTTATGTTTTTATCATTTTCACTTATTATCATTATATGTTTGTTTTTTTTTGTTATTTGTGTTTCTATTTTCTTTTTCATTAACTTATATCTTTCATTTTCATAACTCTTGCTTCTATTTAGTTTGAAATTACTTTATCGTTTTCTTATTTCTATATTATTCTTTATTCATTTCTTTATTTTGTATCTTTCATTCGTATATTTTATATTCTTTGCGTTATGTTTATTATTCGATTTTTCTTCTATTATTTCTTATTCTTTCGTTTCATTTCTTCTTTTTATTCTTTTTGTTTTATTATTCTTTTGTTTTGATATTTACTTTCGTGTTTATAACTATTTCTTATTTCTATTGATATTGGTATTTATTTTATATATTTGACTTTGTTGCTTTATATTGTTGTTTTCTTTTGAATGTCGTCTTTTTCTTTGTTTTCTATTTTATATCTTCTTCTTTATTCATTTTGTATTGTTTCTATGTTGTTATTCAGTATTTCCGTATGTTATTATTCTTTTTATCTCTATCATCTTCTTTATCAAAAAAAAAATTAAATCTATTCTTTTCAATTTATCGTGTTGATTTATTTTCTATTGAATTTTATTTCATTTGATTCATTATTTTATAAGTGTGTTTCTTTGTTTGTTATTTATATTTCATTTAGTATATTTTAGTATATTTTAGTATATTTTAGTATATTTTAGTATATTTATAAACTATTTATTTAAGTGGTAAATTTCTCTATTTGTGTTATGTTATTATCTTCTATTTCTATGTTTTGTTGTTAATTCTATGTCTATTATTTCTTTTGTTATGTTTATTTCTTATTATTTCTTATATTCATGTCGTTTTTATCTTCTTGTACTAGATGTATTCTGTTATATTCGCTTTTTATATTATTTCTTTTTGATTTCTTTTGATTTGTGTATTCTTTGTGTATTCTTTGTTTTTCTTATTTCAATATATTTGTTTTATGTTTGACTTATTCTACTTTTGTTTTCTTTATCTTCTTCTTTCTTGTTCATTTCCTTATTTAACTTCTTACTCATTGTTTATTATCTTCTATGTTTTCTTCTTATTATTTATTTGATTTACTTTATCTTTATAACTTTTATCATTTTATATCTTCATTTGTCTTTCATTTTTTTCTGTTATATGCTTTCTTGTTTTTCTTATGTGTGGAGATAATGAACATTTCTACTCTTGTTTAGTTGTTATGCCTTTTCCTTCTTGTTTTATTTCTTCATTATATGTTTTTCATTTATATATTATTTAAATGTTAATAAGATTTCATTTATTCTTCATGTGTTATATTATTCTTTTGTGTTTGAATTATTTAGAATAAAATATTTGTGCTTATATTCAAATATATTCTTATTTATCTGTTTGTGCTTCATATCGTTTCTCTAATCCAAAATATTCTTCTTCTAATTTCCTTACTTCAAACACTCTCTTGATTATTTCCCCGATTTCCATCTCTTCTTCATATGAAGATGTCTCCCCTTCTAAACTGATAATTTCTCGTCTTTCTTCTCCTCGTTTTCTTTTAATCCTTCCTCTGATTTCTTCTCCGCCTCTCTTCATTGCTCGTATTTGCTCTTTGATTATCCCCTTGACTACTTTTATCATATTCTCTATCTTTTCTTCTTCCCTTTTCATTCCTTTTTTCCTTTCCTCTCTCTTTTCTTTCTTCTCTTTCTTTCTATTCATTTTGCTTTTTTTTGTTCCTTCTAGAACTTTCTTCCCCTATTTATTCACAAAATCTCCTTTTCTATCATTCCTGACTTATTCGGCTGTACAATCTTTAATTGCACACTAGTGACGTCAGGAAGATTATCTCATTTCACCATCCCTTATGTCTTATGACTATAGGATTGTGTCTTATGAAATATTCTTCTATCTTTCTTTTATTCTTTCTTATTCTTCTTTTTGTCTTTTCTTTTCTTGTTTTCTTTTTTTTATTCCTTTAACTATAAAAGAAAATGAACCAAGTCAGTGAAATGAAAAACAAAACTTCAATGAATTTTAGTCAAACTTGGCTTTCATAAATCTTGCTAAATTTGCATTATATTCAGGAGCGAAACGATACATTAGACCATGTTTTCTTAATAAACGTCTTTGTAATCCTGGAGCTAGAGGTCTTAAAGTTCTTACAACTTCACGTAAAATGATATCTTTTTGTTTAGGTAATTCTTTGTATGCAGTCATTAAGTTATTTGTAACGTCACGAATTTTTTGACGAGCTTCAGGGTCAAGAACGAGTTGTAAGTCTGATTTTTCTTCTTCATAACGAACCATCAATTGCCTTCCTTTTGCCTCAAGAGCATCGAATTGTTTGTTAAAGTTAATAATTTTTTGTTCTATTTGTTGGTACAATTTTTTACAGACTTTTCCTCTACATTCTGCTTGAGAAGATACAGAGATTATCAAGAAAGATAATACAAAGATTGAATAAATTTTCATTTATGAATATATTATGATTTTTAAGTTCAATTTTTTTTTAGAAATAAAAGAGAATGAAAAACAAAAAAGAATAAATGAAGAATATTAAATGAATTAATGAATTGATTGAGGATTATTATCTGATAATTGTAATAACTCTTTTGGACATTTCCCAAATGGGATTTGATAGTTATATGGTTCAAGATAACTTCCGTCTATAAATTTATTATTTATCTAACTAATGAGAATCATTATTGTATGAATAATAATAAACCAACAAACAGTGAAAATATCGTTATAATTGTCTATTAAAAATTTAATTGTAATAATAGCATAATTTTTATTATTCATTAATTCTTCAATACTTAAAGAAAATAAGACAGGAGCAAATACAGTAGCTAAATTATTAGAGTCCATTAAATTAAATTGAGAATATTGTGCAATTAAATGAAGATGAAAAATGATATGTTTTAAAGTAATATAATTTAAAAATGGTAAAAATGATAAAGCATCTTTCATATTTTTAATGACCAATTCTTTTAATGAATCATCCATTTGAAACATTGAAATCGTAGCATTAAATAAGTCTTTCTATAGTATTAATTTATGTTATTGTAGTAATATTGTTATTATTTAAATCAAACATTTTCATTATTCACTAAAAAACCAGGAATTTCTTTTAAATAATTTTTAAGAAGACTTGCAACAGTAGAAATTTGAACATTATTTAAATTTACACTTTCTCCATTTTCATATTGTTTTTTTATTGCAATAATATCTGTCATATTTCCAGGTACTCTAAAGATTCCTTCTGTTAAAATATATTCCCATTTACTTGATAATTTTTCAAGCATATCATAAATTGGATATGGTATTTTATTAATTGTAGGAACTTCTTTTAAACTTCTCCCAATTGCTTTTTCATTCTGTTTCATTAGTATTTTTAAAGGGAATTTTCAAGTTTTCTTCTATTTTTCTTAATTAAATGATTATCTAAAAATAAAGAATCTCAAAATATTTAAACATTTCTATTTCAATTAAACACCAGTGCTCATCTCGTTTTGAGCATACATTTCTTTTTTTTTATTTTTTTTTTATTTATTAGTATATTATTCATTATATTCACAACACCTCTCTTCTTCTGAATTTTTAAAAACATAACGTTAAAGTATAATATGACAAAAAATTACAGTAAATTTTGTTTTTTTATTATTTTATAAAAATAAAACCCTGAATTAAACTATATTTTATAATAAAAATATTATAAAAAAATAATAAAGAAAAAATAACCAATGAGAAAAGAGAAAACCCTTATTTTGAAATAAAAAACCCTGAAAAATTCAAATAGATTAAATTCATGTCTGACTTTGTAATTAAACCAAGTGAAGAAAAATCAACTCCAGATTATTCATCATGGCCATTACTTCTTCAAAACTTTGACCAACTTGAAATTAAAACAGGACATTATACACCTGCTTCAGCTGGTAATTCACCAATTAATAGACCAATTTCTGAACATTTTAAATATGGTATTATTAACTTAGATAAACCAGCTAATCCATCTTCTCATGAAGTTGTTGCATGGTTAAAAAGAATTTTAAAAGTTGAAAAAACTGGACATTCAGGAACTCTTGATCCAGCTGTTACTGGTTGTCTTATTGTTTGTATTGATCGTGCTACAAGACTTGTTAAATCACAACAAGATGCAGGTAAAGAATATGTTTGTATTTGTAAGTTCCATGAAGCTATTTCAGATGAACAACAAGTTAAAACTGTTATTAATACATTAACTGGTGCTCTTTTCCAACTTCCACCAGTTATTGCTGCAGTTAAAAGAAGTCTTAGAATTAGAACAATTTATAATACTGAATTACTTGAAGTTGATAAAAAAGAAGGACTTGCATTGTTTAGAACTCAATGTCAAGCTGGAACTTATATGAGAACACTTTGTGTCCATCTTGGATATCTTATGGGATGTGGTGCTCATATGGAAGAATTAAGAAGAGTTAGATCAGGTAATTTAACTGAGAAAGATAATATGGTTACTTTACATGATGTTCTTGATGCTATGTACTTATATGAAAATCATGGTGATGAAAGTTATATTAGACATTGTGTTAGACCACTTGAAACTTTATTAACTAAATACAAAAAAATTGTTGTTAAAGATTCAAGTGTAAATGCTATTTGTTATGGTGCTAAATTAATGGTTCCAGGTTTACTTAGATACTCTAAAGGAATTACTATGAATGAAATTGTTGTACTTATGACATCTAAAGGTGAAGCTATTGCTCTTGGTATTGCTAAGATGACATCAGAAGAAATGATTACTTGTGAATATGGTGTTGTTGCTACTATTAAGAGAGTTATTATGGATAAAGATTTGTATCCACGTAAATGGGGACTTGGACCACATGCTCAACAAAAGAAGAAACTTGTTGCTGAAGGTAAATTAGAGAAATATGGTAAACCAAATGATAAAACTCCAGCTGAATATTTGAAAGAAGTTCCTTATATTAAATCAGAAAAAGAAGGAAAGAAAAATGCTACAACTAACGAAATACCAAAAAATAAAAAAGAAGTTAAAGTAGAGACAAAGGAAAAACAAAAGGGTGTTAAAGAAGAAAAGAAAGTTGTAGAAGAGAAGAAAGAAGTTAAAGAAGAAGAAAAGAAGAAAGAAATAAAAGAAGAAAATAATAAGGAAAGTTCTTCAAGTTCATCTTCAGAATCTTCTTCAGACTCATCAAGTTCAGAATCATCAGATTCAGAGTCATCATCAAATTCTAGTTCTTCATCATCAGAGTCAGACTAAGCATTGAATTGATTGAAAAAGTGATAGTTAAAGTTTTTGGTTAATTTTATTTAATTTAATAAAAGGTAATAAAATTTAATAGTAAGATTAATAAATCTAAAAGTTTTAATTAAGGGATAAAACAAAAAATATTTTTTTTCTTTTTTTTTCTTAAATAAGAATAAAATGTTAAAGATTAAAAACCCTAAAGATCTGGGAAGAATAAGTTATTTCTGAGAAAGAATTGTCCATGAAAATTACTTTTATATTATTTTTATTTGTTGGTGCTTATTCAGTAGAAAGTATTTGTGAAACGTGTCAAAATGAATTAAAGACATGCCTTAATGATCAAATTCCTGCTGTTGATTTTATAATTGGAAAAAAACATGCTAAGACATGTCAATGTTGTGCTAAATATGATGAATGTATTGGAACAAATGAATGTGAATATTCACCATCAATTTGTTATAAAACTGGATGTAAAAATTTACAATTAATAGGATGGATAATGGTATGTGTTATTATTGGGATATTATTAATTGTAATTGCTGGTATTTATTTATTTTACCGCTACCGACATGAAAAGAAGATTGAAAAAAAAGATGATGAAAAGATTATTACAAAAAAGCCTCTAATAGAAACCGAAATGAAAACAAATTTATCTACTACAGCTAAACATAAAGATGTTGAAATTAATTATCAAAAATTACATGAAGTTATTGAATCATCATTTTCTTCTTCTGATTCATCTTCAAGTGATGAAGATACTTCAAAACCATTAACACAAGTTCAAATAACAAAATAATTAAATAATAAAGTTATTTAAAAATATTGATGTAAACTCGATTTGTATTAAAGAGTAATTTATAGTACATAAAGATATATTTCTTGGTTGTATTTTTTTTATTAATTGAAAATTTTCCATCAATCAACATTTTGGTTTCTTTTATTTCTTTTTAGCAATAAAAGAAAAAAAAAATAACGTAAAATGAATGTTTTAATTAATCAAAAACACCGAATTGGGTTAAAATAGTAATGGTTAATCCAATACCACCAAGAATAAACCCAATAATCATAACTCCTAATGAAACCCATTTGAGTAAGCCAGTAGCTACACGGAATGCAAAGAATGCTGGGAAAACATAAACAACAAGTGCACCAAAGATTGAACCATTATAAGCAAGTACTGTTGAAATTTGTTCGATTCCAGTTGCAAGGAACATACAAAGAGAAATTAATACTAAACTTAATGTAATTCTACGAATATTTGATTCTTGCCATCCTGAGAAAACTAACTTATCAAATAAATCACGTTGAGCATGATGAACTAATGGGAATGAAGTGGTCATTACAATACAAAATGAACAACAAGCAACGAACATAGGAATATCACTTGTTGGATAATCAACAAGAATATTACCAGTAATGTTAGGAGTTAAAGAGAAATACCCAAATAAACCAATTAATAAATAAACAACAAAAGAACAAAGAGTTGATGAAACAACAATAACATTCATTTTTGTTATTGATCTATTTTTTAATTCAGAATAAAAACGAAGTACATTATAATGAGCAGTAAAAGCACAAGTCATATAAGGAAAACCTCTTAAAAATTCTACACTAAGATTAAATACTTGAGGAGGATGACTATCAATATTATCATGGTATGTTGTAAAGAATTCAATACAAGAAGTAAGTGTAGTATAAATAATACAAGCTAATGAAATTAAAGAACTATATTTTAAAGCACTTAAATTTTTAAATAATGAAATTGGAATAATAATACAAAAACATACAATCATAATATCAAAATGTCTATCAACTAATATAGTACTTCCTGCAAATGTAGAAAAAACATGTGGCATAAACCCACCTAAGAAAATTGGATAAGCAATACATGTTCCAGTTGTATAACAGAAAATACTAATTTGAACAATATAACTAATTATTTTACCACCTACTTTTAATGAAATATCTTTGTATGTCCATAGTTTTGTTTTAGCACTAACGTATGTTAACAAATACATAGCAAAAGCTGAAAGAATCCATGCTATTAATAATAATGTTATTCCTCCAGTATATCCACTATATTGAAAAGCTAATGGAATGGCTAATGTTCCACTTCCAATTACTGTATTTGCTAAATTAAAAATAGTACCAGGAATTCCAGCAGTTCCAATTGGTTCAGTTTGTCCATTACCTTCTTCATCAACAACTTCTTTTTCATTACTTAGTAAATTACTTGATAAGGTTGTTTCTTCAGTCATGAAACTGTTTTTGAATGAAGAAGTTTTTTTAATAAGAATGAATAGAATATCAAAAAAAGTTGATGTAGAAGCTGATAGTTTAAAAGCGAAATTCTATTTGTCTTCTTTATTAATTCTCGAATGCTCTTCGTTTCTCAATTTTTCAAATTAATAGATTTGTTTTAATTATAAAATATTTTTTGTTTTATATAACAACAATTAATATAACATTAAGTCAATTTAAAAATGAGACTTTTACAGAATGAAAAGAAGATATCCAATTATCTCTTTCTTTCATATTATAACAAATACAAATCATTGTATTTAATGTGAAAGAGTAATTTTTATCTGAACAAACAATTAGTTTAGAAGTATCACAAGTATATTCTACTTTACAATAATATTTTTTTAATAAACTAATATCATTACCTGAAGGTGCATTTTCAAATCTAGTTAATATTTCACGTTCATTACGATATTTTTCTGTTACATCAATTTTAGCAATAAGTAAAATGTCATTAAATAATAAACATAATTTCCATTCTTTTCCTTTAAATTCTTTTGATGTAATTTTTACACCACCAAAATGAATTAAATATCTACCTTTTTTTTTTAAATCCATTCCAGTTATTTGATTTAATTTTTTTAAAGAAAGATCACTAATTGATGATAATACTTGAATATATTTTTTTATTGTTTGTTTAATAATTTGAGATGGTTCTGATGTTTTACTCATTAAATAAAATAAGAATGCTCCTAATCTTCCAAAATGTTGTATTGGTAATTCAATTAATTCTTCAAATGGTTTTACTTTTTCATGAGTTTCTTCATATTCATTAATAGCAATTTCTAATGAATGAAGAACATCTTCTTTATAAGTTAATTGAATTAATTCACG